GAGGAAGCCACGCACGCAGAAAAAGAATCTGGCGCGCTCCTAGAATAGCCAAGTGCCTGACATCATCTTGCCGCTTCCTCCTTCCTCTGTCAGAGAACGTTAATGACTTTTAATATGCTAAACCCAGCAGCTTTATTCCTATGTTATCCTGTGATCCCTCCGCACAGTTTACCAAGAGGCAGTGCCACACAGCGATTAAGAGTCTGGTTTCTCTCCCCAGTTCCCAAAACAATATATATCTGGCAGCTGAATCAAGAAAACTGATAGTGGCCAAATGGAGGGAATCCACTTGAACGGTCATATTTATAGTGTAAATACAAGTGACTTAAGGCAGCAATATATATTCACATATAATATACAGAGACACACACATACCTATCTTTGTACGGAGAGGTATTTGGGGAAAGTTTTTGAAAAGGGAATTTAAAAAAATGCACAGTAAGAGTGGAACAATGTCTGATTCTCCTGATTTTTTTTTATGAGAGGGACACCGTAACCCAACGGCAATAGGGCTCACCCCATTGTGTGTGTATTCACAAGACACACCCACCCCATCACAGGATACCCAATTTTCAACGACCTAAAATAATTAATGAGCAACCCTGAGCCACAGAACACAACATGCTCTAAGTAGATAGATATACACATTCAGAACTCATTCAGAAAACATTAGAACCGAAACAGCTCATGTTTCCGACACACTATTCCATCTGTGTGTGTGTGTACATCCCTACATAGGTACCCTATAAGGCAGATTCCAAGCTACAGATAAAATGAGGACATGACAGAACTCTGTTTTGTTTTCCTTTCCTCTCCTTAAATTCCTTCTACCACAAAGAAACGCATCTTAACCCAGGTACTCTTCTTTTATTTCTAATGAAATAAAACCCCCAACAAGAATTCCTGAGAAAGAAGAAATCAGTTCAACAACCATTTTGACACTTGTGTGTGTGTGTGGGGGGGGTGGGTATGGACTGATATACTCTTATTAAAAAAATAAACCTTTAAAAATTATGTTACGGTATGTCATTGAAGCATTATAAAAGTCCAAATAGAAAAGGGACGTTCCCACCTCTTTCACCTGAATCAGCTCTTATGACTAGCTTTACTCTAGCCTTACAGTGGTGAGGAGACAGGTGCACCTTCTCTACCCCTCCTCTCTCCCCGCTATCACATGCCAGGGACAGAAAACAGCAGAGACCAGCATGGAAGAAACCCAGGTCCCTTAGTCACCACATAGAAAGTGGCCTATCAGACATTCTAACCAGACAGTGTGAAAGTGATAGATAAAATTATATCCCATTGAGTCACTATGATTTTATAGTTGTCTGTTGCAGAAGCTGATATTAGAGTTTTGTTTTTTTTAGACGAGGTCTCACTGTGTCACCCCTATGTTGCTAGCAAGACGGCTCACAGCAACCACAAACTCTTGGGCTCAAGTGATTCACTCCATTGCCACAGCCTCCCAAGTAGCTGGGACTACAGGCACTTGCCACAACATGCAGCTATTTCTAGAGATGGGGGTATTGCTCTAGCTCAGGCTGGTCTCTGTATTCCTGAGCTCAGGCAATCCATCCACCTCAGCCTCCCAGAGTGCTAGGATTACAGATGTGAGCCACCATGCTAGGCCTGAAATTAGAGTTTTTAATGAAGAAAAAGTTTATTGGCGTCCATAGATCAGTGGTTAGGGCACCACCCGCATACACCAGGCAGGCAGGTTCAAACCTGGCCCAGGCCTGCTAAACAATAATGACAACTATAATAAAAAAAATAGTTGGGCATTGTAGCAGGCACCTGTACTCCCAGCTACTTGGGAGGCTGAGGCAAGAAAATCATGTAATCCCAAGAGTTGGAGGTTGCTGTGAGCTGTGATGCCACAGAACTCTACCAAAGATGACATAGTGAGACTCTGGCTCAAAAAAAAAAAAAAAAAAGAAAGAAAGAAAGAAAAAGTTCATATAATACTATCTGGATTTGTATTCAATATACAAATCTCAATTTTTCTCAATATTTCATGGAGTAGAACATCCACTTTAAGAAGTAAAAGACAACATGTAACTACCATTAGCCCAAATGATTTATTTCCCCAATTCCAGTATTTAAAAATTAAATATTCTTGGGTGGCTCCTGTGGCTCAAAGGAGTAGGGCGCCGACCCCATATGCCGGAGGTGGCAGGTTCAAACCCAGCCCTGGCCAAAAAATAAATAAATAAAAATTGAATATTCTAACTAGTACCTTAGCATATATGATAAGTATTACACACAACAAGTGATAAACATTTATTCTTTTTAGACTGAATAATATGATTGAACAAGCAATTTGGAGGATAACTAAGATACTTAAGGCAGGAATGCAAAGAAATATTAAATTCAAGCAAGCACTTGTACCATATACAAGCGAAGATGAAAGGTCTGTGGGTTTACTGAATCAGGTGCCTCCGAAGGACATGATATTACTTGCAATTCAACTGGTTGAGCAACCCCATGCCCCTCCCCCCACTTTCAGGTATGAAAGGCCTCAGGACTCTGCTAATGAGATAAATTCAATCATTAGCATTTTACTGATAGGAGGTCCACATGGGTAAAAAAAAGGCCCTGCCAGGGTAGCTGCCCGATACACAGTGCAGCAGGAAAAAGACAGTGGGCTCAGAATTGTAAACCAGTGGTTGTCAAACAATGCATAGTCATCTTTTTAAAAATCTTACATGTGAGCACAATAAATAAATAAAATGGAACTGTTCTGGTTAAAGCAACAGTTGGAGGCCTGGAATGGTGGCTGCTTGAACCACAGGACACTGTTATCATCCCAGGCAAGTCTCCTGCACCGGTCCTGAGCAATGTCACTGCAGCCCCCAGAACTCTATTTAAAATTCAGGGGTCAACTGACGCAATGAAACAAATGAGGCAGAGTTTTCTTCTGTTTAGAAAAAGGAGATTATGATGAGAATGTAGGGGAATCCGCTTTAAAAACATAAAGCAGTGAAAAGAATATTGTCTTTGAAGAAGAAATCACTGAGTTGTCTGATCTTTAGAGCTAAATCACTAAATTAAGTTGACCAAACATTTGTGCTCTATAACTGTCATTATACATGTACAGTTTAATATTTCTTTTTATTTGAGAACCATTATTTTTAGAGATATAACTATTACAAGGAGAAAAGGCCACCTATTATTTTTATCAACCTACTTTACTGCTAGCATGATGCTAATCTTCCCTCTAATCAATAATTTATTTCTAGCTTTAAATTTTGTTGCTTGAAAAGAAGTTCATACCCAGTAAAATCACCAAATTGTAAGTTGATTACTTGAAGAAATTTTAAGATATATGCAAATACATACATCCATCCATACATACTTGTAAATATACAGGTATGTATATTCACACACATACAGCCACCCCTTGTAAGATATTACTTATTTGTACATAGCTATAAAATAGCACGTATATTTGTGTCTTTTTTTGCTTTTAACAGTATTACTTTCAAAGGATGAAAAGAAAAGAAGAAGAGTCTCCACATAATCCTCTAAGTATATATTAGTTATTTTCTTAGTTTTGGGGATTCTTAGTGCCATAAACACACAAATTTATGTAGGAGTCATATCAAGGTGTACTTTTTAAATTGGTATTAGTCATGGAATAATTTTTTCCATGCCACATAAGACTAAGACTAATTCTCTACTGTTTGAATTATTTTTATTTGTAATCAAATTATATACAAAATATTGGCCTTAATATATCATCGAGTAAATGCATCACACGTTAATCAGTAAAATAATGAAGTTCAGGGACACGTAAATCCATAAGGTCTAGGCTGTCATCTATCTTAATGAACTCTTGTACCTTCCTCTGGGGTAACACCGACTACACAGTAGACATTCCATACTTGTTGAAAGAACGACGATATGTCTGTCTGCTGCACGGTCATTTTTCCTATCTGCCTTTGTGAATTTTATAAACAAGAGGCTGGGAATTCCTGGCTTCCAGCTGACATTTTCCTATGTCCCTTTACTGAACTATACGTCCATGTTTTATGAATTTGCATCTTTTCCTCTATTAAATCTGTTACACTCTTCACTTTTTCCTCAGTTTTTTGAGTTTTTATGTAATTATGATTGTGAAATTCTCTCATGCTTTAGTCTTCACTGTTGTTTCAAGTAAAACCCAAAGCATGCATGTTTATAGAAAGCTGTTCATATTTCCCTTTATGATTTATAAACCGCATAGAAGCAAACACCTGATGCACTATGCACACTCAGTTCTACTGTCCTCTGGTCTGTATTCAGTAAGCTGCCATTGAAATCTGTTGTTCCATGCAAATTTAAGACCAAGTTCTGAAATTCCAGTAATAGTTAGAAAGGTAAAGAGCTGAACTGAAGTCCCAACCGTTGCAGGTTATTTGCTCCCACCTATAGTTCTTTGGTAAGGGAAGGTACGATACCTACTTTAACACACAAAGTGCGTGTGCAATTTACTATGTTAAACTATTTTAAACTGCACACGCCCTTTCCGTTCACCCTGTGTATTCAATTTGTCTATAACTTGATCCATACTGTGCTGAGCTGCCGTTCCACTTTTTGCCAATACCGTATTGTGTTAAAACATTGTACCATTCCAGATGCTTCCAGATACGGTTGGTATAGCCTCTCTTAGTTAACATTCATTAACTTTTTGAAACGTTTTCTCCACTTTTTTCTTATAGATGAATTGGTAGTTTGGTCAGGCTAAGTGAAAAAAACACTGCAATGTTGACAGAATTCCTTTTCTTCCAATCTCATGCACATTGCTTCTGTAAAACTGAATACTATCTTTTTATTATAGGCTCTGCCTATTATGTTTCACCTAAGTTTTCAAAATAAATTGGCTCCCACCGTATGGTAGTATGCCTTTACAGATACGGTTTACGTAAAGCACATAGGAGGGTTTCGATATCTCAACTTCACCATGGAAGGAAGAAATACGTTTCTTTTTCATACAGTAGAACCTGGTCTAATTTCTCCCCTTGGCAATTGCAAAACGGCAAAACATACATTAAATGAGGAGAGAAAATTTAGTTGAAATCTAAAAAAAACATCAAATGCTAGCTTTCCTTTTAATAAGAAACTACCAAAAAACTTCCCCAAGGAACAGCGGGGTAAAGTTAACCAATGGACTGGAACCAATTTTTCAAATCAAAATGTGAAACGATGAAGTGTCACATAAACTACCTGAGCGCCAGTTGCTATTTCATCAGCAGCTTCGTTCATTACTCCCAGGGTTTGGAAAGCAAATACACACAGCTCCCGTTCACACACAGTGGGCTGCAAAAGACAGAGCAATCAATTTCGACATCCTTGCCTTCTCTCCATTCCTAAATTTAATTTATAACGTTTCACATAACAAACAGAAAATGCAAAGTTTGGGACATTTTATAAAAAGGAAATCATACTACTTTACTTAATAAAGAATGAATTCTTAAGTTCTGGCAACAATGAGCATCAGAAATGACCCATTTCAGTTAGTTTCAGGCCCTTGTGCTCAAAACAATTTCGCAACAGAGGAAAATATCCTTGAATAGAAAATCCGTCTCTCCTGCTTAATATGCATTTGCACGTGAGCTGCATTTAAAATAAATACCAAAGTTGGTGATACAATAAAAGACGAGATTAAACACAAAAATGGTATGGTTCAAATGTACGAGGGAGAATTCCACCTTTTCCCAGGAAATTTCCTTTGGAGGAAAAAAGTGTGATCCTGCTTACTTGCTACCCATCTCTTGAAAGATTAGTTTGGTTGCAAAGACTTTTGACTTCAATAACCTCCTGAAGTCAATAGCACTGAAATATACACTCTGCAATTACTTCGGAAGAGCTCTCATCTTTCAAATCTAATACAGTGTCATCCTTTTGATTTATCTTATCTCCCGAGTTACAATGCATTAGGTAGCTGATGAAGCCTAGCACGAGGCGATCCACAGCGCCTCTGCACAGCGGACAAAGGCATTTGTGAGTGCCACTACTCCTGCGCTGCCTTCTTTCCGAGGACAACTTGGTCTACTGGTTAACCAGTAGGAAAGCACAGCCTCATTCTGCACATCCTTCATATCGGAAATGAGAATTATAATATTATATATTATAAAATTCCTAGTACTCTTGGTACTTCAGCATTAACCTTCTTCTATTATTAGTGTGTATCTATGTGTGTACAGGTCTCACCCTCAATTTCCCTTGGGAATATTAAATTTGTTCACTTTCTGGGGCTGAGAGTGTGGCATGATCTGAAATCAGAGTAGCAACTGCGTATTTACTATAGCGCCAAATGCTGTACTGGTGTTTGAATACAATTAGAACTGTCTAGAAACAAAAATCCAAGCAGAAGATAAGCCTTGAATATCATAAAGAGCTCTAGGAAATTATTCACGACCAGTTGCCCAAAGTACGCTGAGGAAATAAATAATGACACAGAAGGCATTATGTTTTTAATAACGCTCTTGTCGAATAACCATCACCTTTAGGAGACTAAAATCTATCAGCCTCAAAGCTAAATAATAGGATATGGCTCGTTTAGTAAAATGAGGTGTGACTGACTTTCATTTGAACCCCGAATAACCAATCACGTTTACTTTGTGATCATCTAAATATGTACGTATCTACGTTTGCACGTATGTGTGTGTGCAGATGGATGTGCACACGTATGTATACACACTCATTCTGGGAAACATAACCAGAGAAACCACTTTTCTGGTACCAAACTGTTAAACAAGGGAAGTAAAATGAAATAAAACACTTCAGCAAGTGAGACTCATCTCTAAAAGAAAGAAAAAAGAACAAATTAACTTATTAAAAAGTAACAATTTCTTTTATCTTTTGCTTGTTTTTACTGAAAGGTTCAAGGCGTATTCAGGATATAAGATGTAAATCGGTTTAATTCTGAGGCAGGCATGTGTGCACTTTTAGACTTATTTTTGCAGAGTCGTAGTCCACGCTCCTTGTTTACCCACACTTGAGAGAAGTTCAAAATGTCAACACAAGGCGGTGCCCTAAAAAAAAGTTCTCAAACTGCCAGAAGTGGTCAAGATTAGGTGGTCTCTGCTCACAGAGGAATATGTTAGTCAAGGAAAAGAAACTGAGTCACTTTTTCATAATGAAACATAGTTAAATTGTGGACTAGCCTTATCCCACGTTAAACTGATTCCCATTCAATCCCTCACCCTGACAAATTCTGCTGCTGGGTCACTACAAAAGTTTTGGGACAGACTATGTTATGGTCCACTATTTCACACCCCAAAACACAGTCGACAGTATCTTTTCTGATTCACCTATGCAAGTTTCAACTAGCTTTTCGGTGTTGGGAGAGGGCTTCATCTGGAAACAAATGAAGATTTTATGTTTCTTAATTTTTCTGTGTATCTCCAAACTTTCTTAAAGACCCATGTATTTATTAGCCCAGCAATCGCTGCCATCAATTCAAACAGCACATAGTCATTTAAGAGCTACAATCAATGCAAAGTATGTACGCCTAAATAGAACCAAGTGTGTACATTATCAATTCAAATTTGGAACACATCTATTAGTTTCAATTTGAAAGTTGAATATTGTATATTATAAAATTCTATTACCTTGAAGAATAAATTTCAATAATTGAGACTGTGAATCTATGGCAAGTCCTTCTATTATCAACAGGTACATATTTGCTACATAATATTCATTAGGGATCATTTAAAAGCGTGGGTAATTTTTATCTACTTCTGAAGATTTATTTCAGAAATTTTTGGCTATGATGGATATATTTCTAGGTTTATTTGAAATCAAAGCTATTTAAATTAAAAAAAAATGTTTAAAAGCAATTTAAATGTGGGCAATAAAAACATATTTTTAAAAATGTTTTTAAGCCCAAAGGGGTATTCTAGAACTACCAACTGTATTTTAGAAAAGTTGTGTTTTCAATGAATTTAAATTACCCTCTACGGAAAATAGAAATGATACGACTCTAAAGAATCTAACTATAGAGAGAGATAAGCCAGGTATCAGTGAGTGTTTTTCAAATGATTCTGCCATGGTCTTTTTGTTCAAACAAAATACCTTACATGAGGCCCATGTATAAAATAGTATCAAAGTGGAGCTTGTTCCAGGTGGAGCATGTGTGTGGTTTGGTTTTCTCTATTTGTAAAAAGAGAATAAAAATAATACCTAGCTCTTCAAGTCTAGACCAGGACCAAGTGAGATAAGGTTTATAAAATCTCCTGGAGGGATGGAGAGCTGCTTAAATATAACCAATAGAAGACAACCTAAAGCCATCTCTGTTACCTGCTTTGACTCAATGTGATACAAAGATTAAGTATCTGACAAAAAATAGTTTTCTTTGAAGCATATTTTATTTGCATATCTATATTTTATCAAAACTCTGAAGTTATTGCTTCAATCATTCTTACTAAAAAAGAAACAAGCAAGGTAAATACAAATTTCTGTTTTTAAAATTGGTGTTGGAAAAATATGAAAATAATTATATGAATATCTTCTAGGACCACAAAACTTGTGAGTCTTTTATTTCTCCATATTCACAGTCTTATGGTTAATGTTTGGGGTTCTGTTTGAGGTCAAAGGACATATTCAGGGCACAGAAAGGTTCACCATCCATTAAGAGAGCCAGAAATCCCATCACAATTAAGGCAGATTCGCAGTAAGGTAGGATCGGGTCTAATTAAACCTGAACCCATGGAGGCCCCTATTTGGCACATACAACAAAAGATGCTTGAACATTATAACTAATTTCTGTTCAGTTGGATATTGTTTTTTTAAAAGAAATTCTGCTTTTGAACTAAGTTTCTGGGCATAATCATTATTTTAGTATGGTTTGTGTTTCTGAACTTCTGTGACGGGGGAGGTGTTAATAGAATATGCTTTTTCATCCATTCTTTAAATATTAAAGTGTGACTGGAATGCAAACAACCTACCTGTTTTACTCTTAGAAAGTAAAATGTGACATACCTAGGTTTACCCTCATGCTCAAGTTTCTCATAAATTTTCATGAGAATGCCTTAAACTGTGACCGGATTATAACTGGATATTATTAATTTCACTCAGAAAATAGAATCCTTAATTAGAAACATCTGCCCCAAGGTCCATAGGAAGGCTGACTACACAAAAATATAGATTCTCAGGTTTCTTGGTTGTCTTTGTTTCAACAGAACTGGGCATCACGCTTAAGTGGGTGAAAGACGTCTGCAAATATATTTAGGAATCAGCACTCTAGAATCCCAGGCCTGATTAAACCAGTCAAAGCAAGTAATGAAGGACCTTTTCCCACGGCAAAGGAAGAAAATGAGATCACAATTCTCACATCAGATGTCGATGTGGAAAATGGGAAAGTCTGTCAACCACGGACACGCAGAGCAATTGCCAAGTATCAGTGGCACAGGCCTGCCTTCCCGGGAATGTCAATTCACACAACCACGTGGTTTTCCCTAGCAGAGACGGGCAGCTGACACTTAGTGTGCGCCAATAAGAAAACCAACTGCACTCACCCAAGAGGGAGGTGCTTAAGGGAGCTAGGAATTTAGAAGCCAATTCAACTGCAGTATTTCTGGCAATAAATCCTTGTTTTTGTAGTTTTCAAAAACACTTGATGAAGACAACAATCAGCGTTTTAGAAGTACCTCTAAAACTGTTTGCTGTACGAACACTCTAGCCGATTCAAAAATGGACAGAACTACTCATCTGGTTTGGGTTTAGTTTTCTGATGAGAGTACCAACTGTACCTCCAACCTGAAAATCTAGGACTCTGAATAATTACCCTGATGTTAATGTCAGTTTTGTGCAGAATCAAAGTGTTGTGTCTGGACTCAAACCTGGCAATGACATTTACAACTTTACAAATAAAAGTAAACTCTGGAGCACGGGAGTGTTTCTAAATATAGTAGAACCCCTGTAAGTTAACCATCCAAGATTCTAGAACAAACAGGTCAACATGCACAGGTCGTCAACATAAGGAACTAGGCCGGCTATCCTGATATTTGTCTTGGTGCATGCCTGGTCTCTGAAAATTAGATCAACTTAAGGCGGTGGTCAATGCAGGGAGGTGGTCAGCTATGGAGGTTCTACTGTAAGTAATTTAGTTCCTGGTATTACGGTGTGACATGCTAACCTGGATTTCTGAGTAGAGTGACTGTATAAAAGCAGAGTCTAAAATTTTAGGACTTGGTGGGGAATAAACGTTAAAGAGGATTTATGCCATTTTAAAATCATTAGGTTTGGAGAAAGAGGAAAAAATATGAGGGAGATCTAACAAATGTAATAAAAATGTTAGGCAGGGTGGTGCCTGT